ATCAGATAGAGAGCAGAAGCAACCTTGAAATCATTAGAATACCGCTTGCTGCAAGTGTCCATTGTAAACAAAATTTATAGCACATTTTCGTAAGGGAGCATACGGCATTAGGTTCAAATCTCTGTTGAGAGGAATTCTTTCAGAAGCGCATTTTTTTCTAAAGGAAATACCTAAAGCTAGATGGCGTACAGTTTTTTGTACCTTTCTCACACAGCGGTATTTGCATATCCTTTTCGGAAGAAGGGAAGACGAGTGACCTGGCCATGCACCGAATGTGGTTTTAACGCCTACTGATCTATTTGCTATGTGTCGGTTTAGAAATTAGTGGAAAAGTGAAAGTTGCGCTTCTGGAACATGCTGAATGGTACATTTCTAGAGTCGACAGTGAATTAACTATTTATGATCCCGAACGCGCACACATCTATTCGAGGAAACGGAAAGTTTGCAACCGTTGAGATGTCGGTCTTCCTGACACTTTCATGACTGGGTTCTTTGTAGCACCCTCCGGTCCATAAAATTTTACGAGGTGGCGCTGATCTCCAATTCTATCCCATTAGAAAAAAATATCTGAATTTTTAAAAACCGAAACTATAGCTATGTTGCAAGGAATCGGGTAGTATTCTGTTTCCTTCCCATAGATAAGTACTGATTTATCAACATCGGAAGCTAGATCGAATGATGACCGGAAGGATGACCCGACCGGGTCTCGAATCTGGGACCTCTCTGTTCTGGGTCCGATTAAACATCATACATCGATCGAACTGGCGTCCCCTCTAACAACAAAACAAACTGTAGATCGACATCACTATGCATTGGTGAACAGGTAAAGTCGACGAAAACCCGCTGTGCAAACCAGATGCCTGGTTATGATTGCGTAGACAGTCATCCGTTATAAAAAGACCTGTTTACAGCGAGCCTCAACTGTCTAGCCCATTTGTTGATGGACATCGTGACAAAGACGGACGGCCTCCATACCTGTTTAACTTGACTGATGATCAGAATGGACGACTTGCGAAGATATCACTGTTCAGTTTCACGATATCACCAAAAAACATGTATTTGCTTATCTTTATCACAGTGCCATCAGCCATGAGTGCCTTATTTTAAGAGCGGAGTCGACAGCAGCTGTGGCATGCAGGATGTGCAGTCTCCTGTTTCGGCCCACAAGTAATTCTTATTTATAAATCCGTGACCTCTCAATTCTGAGTTTCACGCTCTACCGACTGCAGAGTCCCGGTGGATTTTTTAAAGCAATTTCCATAGAGTAATTGGCACAGTATGCGACTAACTGAAACTCTGACTTACGATTATGACTTTATTGTAAATTATTTTGTGAAGTATTGTATTAAACCGCGTTTAAAGATATTTTGCCAGTTCATCTAAACTAATGGTATTCTTTATTTTGTCGAGGTTTTGAATTCTAAAAACAGTCATATATTCAGCCAAAAGCTCACCAATTTACATAAACATAGATAAGAATGAACTTGTTATCTTTTAGCCTCAAGTGCTCAGATAAAATCACACCTCGAGCAGTCATTAACGTTTAAATCTGTTCCCACATTTAAACGGTAAATAAACAGTTGAAAAAATACATCTCAATTCAACTGAAGAAGAAAATGTACATGAAGATAAAATTGGCAAAATTCTATGTTAAATTACCGTGGAATCCAACGAATTCGACTCTGACATGCTGCTTGCGACGGAATCAGTCCGTGGCAGTGCTGCTGCTGCTGCTGCTGCTGCAGAGTTTGAAGGGACGTCGGATGAGCCTCCTTTATCGTTCAATTTAACCTTCGAATCTAAAGGCTAACTAAACTGAGCATGTGATGCGAAAAAGTACAAGAAACTCTATCCTGCAAAGCGAGTTGTGTAATGAATGTAGAGACCGCTTGAATGGGAAAAGAAACAGTGGAATTTGTTTTGTATTTTAGAGGTGCCGGGTTCAAACCCAACGGGCAGCAAACACGGACTTTCTCGTATTTACTGTAAATTTATTTCAGCAACGAATTCAACCCAACGCGCTTCGGTGCAACCAGCCGAAAAAGCAGGTAGCAAGTCGTTGACCTTCGAATAATACGGACCACACAGTGTTGGGTAAGGTCATGCTAGAGCATACGAGACATGCGTCTATGGTAGCTTATGCCTTGCGACTGCAATTTTCCCTGAACCACCTGATAGCCGACTGAAAACCAGCACAATAAAAATCGTTATATTTACCATAAAGAGAATGATATAACTGCAGGTCGATTACTTCAGATGACTTGTGAATATAAATAACTACGTAAAGAGACAGCACGACACTATGACAATGAAAATTTCATTGTCCGTTCAGAAAACTGATGGCATCAATTTACAGATGAAAAGATGCACTATATTTAGGGTAGAACTTTCAAAGTGAAAATGTGCTTTTCATCGTCGGAATCATAATGAGCTTATGTGGTTGATTCCCCCCCCCCGTTCTCACAGGGTCACCACCCGCCATGCTTGCTTTAAAGTCCAGAATAATCAACCTTTTGCTTAATGGATGTGAAATACGGACTATACGACATTAGAATACTAGGATGCTTGACAAATACATTAATTTTTGCACTTCTTCATTCGAGCAGTCAATTTTCAATGTTTAAAACAGTGGGTTTAAGGTACAGCAGTAGAAGAAAGAAGTAAACTAATCGTTAAATAACAAAACATCTTTGGAATTCATATCAGAATCATGTTGCAGATATACCTTCAGATTACATGCCTAGAATAGCGAAAGACCAAAAATATTTTAGCCTGGCTTTGTCCTTTAGTGTAAAGGGTTCAAATCCAGCGCGACTTAGAATTTCCTTTATCGTCATCAGCAAGTTTCTTCGATCCATTGCTGGATTAGGGCTTCTTCAAAGCTTCGACATAGACTAGTGTTCTTGGCTATTCCTATTCATTTTGATCCAGCGAACTACTTCAGCGGATACCGTCATCGAATTAGAGTTCTACATACTAGCAATTAGCTCGCTCATGGAGCCCAGTGTACAAATATTCCTTGCTTTACGATGGTTCAGCTTTACGGTGAGTTCGTCAGACGTCAGAACGTAACGCCATCGTAAGCCGAGGAGCATCAGTATACCCAAACTATGTATACTGTTCGTAAGGTCCTTCAGAGAGAACATTATGCATTTGATAAATCCAACGAAACCTCTTAAACATAACTCTAACGGAATTTAAAGCGATCAATTCTCAGAAGTTAATAATAACGAATGACTCTTCCAAGATCAGATTATACTGCACATTGCACTCTTGTTCTTTGCGCCTAGTTGTTTCTGGGGGGATTAAGACGGCCACGGGGCTTATGATATTTGACCACCTGCAGTATCAACTGAATCTCGCATCATTTTGTCCGCTAGAGTCACCTCGCATTTATTAAGAACGCTGTTTCAGGAGCTCATGCTTAAAGAGACAGGCAAAAAATATCATGTTTATGCAGTAGCGTATAAGAAATGCCAGTTCAGGCGTACGATGCTTAAAGTTAATAATGATATAATTGGAAAAGTGAACAAAGGCAGAGCCACGGCGATTACGGATTTATTACAGGATACCATCAAATGCCGTAATGCGTTCAACACCTACTCTCTCCCACCAGACACTGAACCTACTTCTCTGCTAGTTTCCAAACTCTCAGCATTTCCATAGGACATCGTTACATGGCCACTCGGACCTAAAGTTACTCAGATCTACAGAAACATCTTTCAGAATCAGTTGTAACCACATGACACCGTACTTCTGCTTCTTACCTAAATACGTCTACTTAATACCCCTTTCATGACTATTATCTCTATTATAAACCTATATTTTCACAGAGGTCTCGTAATTAATTGCGAAAACAATCAGATCTTTAGCACTAAAAAACCCTAACACAAAATATTCCCACGAGTTTTGCAGTTCTGCAAGCAACTGGACCGGATTAAGCCAACTGTAGCCATCTACGATATTACAAACTAATATGCAAATATAAGTTAACTAATATTGATTGTCCTCTGTTCTTCTTATCCTATTGCGTCAAGACGATGCCGGGTACAGAAAGAGCATCCTACCTGGA